TTTTGTTTTAAATTTACAGTAAGTAATTGAAATTTTGTGTGGGGGTGTAGTGGGGGGGACATTGCTCAAAAAAAATCTTAAAGGAATTTAATATGGTTTTCTAGATTTCCATTGTTTAGCATCTACTTTATAATGTTGTTTTATCATTGCAACAGGTTTTCCGAAATTCTCTGTATCCACCAGATTATTCATCTCGTTTAGATATTGTAAGAGCAAATTCAAAGTCACCTCTTCAGAGATCACTGTCCACTAAGTGTGTATCTGGAACAGGACAGGTGAGCTAGAAACCATAATTTAAAGGAATTTGAGCTGCTGCCTTTGGAATTGTTCTGTACTAAAAACGTTCCCCTTAAGTCATATGGCTTCATATAACCTACCCTCTTACTCTTATATAAAATACTAGATTGCACTAGTTGTGGCTATTTTTTATATTTTGTATACTATAACACATATTACTCTCTAAAGCAGAACACTTAACACCAAAGGTAGAAAGGACAGAATACTATTCTAGATTTGTTCTCTGATATATGAAGAGCACAGGTTCTGGAGTCAAACTGATTAGGGATTAAGTCCTCCATCACAACTTAATGGAAATTATACCTAAAAAGGGCTCTTCCTGAACATTATCATAGATCCGGAAGCACAGATCTTTTAAGTAAAGAGCCAATATTCTCATTTCTTCTATACCCAGAAAGCCTCAGTTCCTGGTTTCTAGAACAGTGAGGGTCCCTTTCTCTCTGAGACCACAGAGAAAAATACCAGGTTTTGTGGGCTGCATGGTCTCTGTCCCAACTAAAAGCAGCCATAAACAATACATAACAAATCAATATGGCTGTGTTGTAATACAACTTTATTTTAAAAAACAGGCAAACTGGGCCATAACTTGCTAATTCATGATCTAAAGCAGCGGTTCTCAACCTTCTTAATGCCACAACCCCTTAATACAGTTCCTCATGTTGTGATGACCCCCAACCATAAAATTATTTTCGTTGNGACTAAGTCCCAGCCCTTGTCAAAAGCAATTTCACCTCTAAGATATTGCTGGGTATCAGGAGATTCTTGGTGTGCAATCCAAGATTGTATCTTGTCATAATGCTGTTTATTGTCAGTTGCCAGTCCAGTATACCAGAGCCCTCTGTGACCTATACGAAGTGACAGTAAGGGTCATTGTTAGTCATATAGTTCTAAGTCTCTTATCCCAGAGCCCAATCTTTGCAGTCAGATTGACATGTGTGCTTGGCAGCCCAGAAGGAATACTTTCAACTACAGATCTGTTTCCATTGAGTAGCAATCAGAAGCCTATTAGTACTACCTTAAATATTTTTTTTAATCCTTAAGAAAGAATAGAAATGGAGAAAAAAACATCACCGGACACTGAGGGATATCTGCATGGCTGTCTTTCTAGGGCAGGAACACTCCTGTCTGGTGGTTAACACAGAACAGCAGGAATAAGGGAAACAAGTATTTGACTCTTGTCTGTGGCCTAGCCCATCCCTTCTGCCTTGCCCCTTTAAGTAGAATGCTTGATTATTTTCTACTCTGTTCTTATTCTGCCCACTTCTCTCTACATTAATGCTCTGATTTTTCATTTGATAAGGGACAATTAACAAAAGGGTAAGATCCTATTTTATTGAAAACTTGTCTAGTTTGTATCCTTTCCCTACCTACCAGTTATCTTACTTCTGCTTAGATCAACATGCACATCTTCATTCATTCTCTTTGCTCATGATCTTGTCATAAGTTGTCATCATGCTCATAGAGATTACCTAGTTTATTAGTGAAGAAAATGACTGTATCCAGCAAGAACAGCACAGTATAATGAACAAGAGCTATATCTTTTGAAGAATCAGATCCAAACTTGAACATTCCAGCTGTGAGCAACTCTGGGCACGTCATATATTTATTTATAAGCTAGAAAGCGCTTTGCAAATGTATGCTGCTATTTTCAGTGGTACAAATGTCATTATTATCAAGGAATTCCTTTATGGTTAGAGAATATAAGTAACATAATCACAAATATGATTATGTGAAACATTCTGTTGTTTAAACATCAGTTGGAGTTGTTAAAATACCAGCTTCAGAACCAAACTGCTTTATCTAATATTTATAGGCATGTGGTAACAGAGTGCATAATGGCATACATTTTAGTCATATCTTTTTTTATCACAGATATCAACTACAAGGTGTAAATAGAACAAAATAAGTAAATTGTGAGATAGGAAATATTTTCTTTAATTTGAAGGTTTTGCTGAAAAAAGTCTTTAACNAATAAAATATTTAAAACATTTTAAAATCCTAAATAAATTGATATTCTTAAACTGAGGATATCATTGCATTTTCATATTCTCAGTATTTAAATTTGGTGTTGTAGTTGGAAGAAAAAAACAGGGCTATAGTATTTCTTTTGCTGCTTACTATATCAACTCACTTCTCTTGAGCATTAATTGCCCTATCTGTAAAATCAAAATAACATGATATATAAAGCAATCAGTAAATAACTCTGATATAAAATGTATAATCTGCCTATCTCGAAGAAATATTTTAAGGTCAAAAGGAATACATTACATAGTAATACTTTCATCAATGTAAAATTATGTTTCTTTTAGACCAGACATGGGTTGGCAAACTTCTTAAAAGGCTAGTGAATATGTTTACAATAAATGGGCCGAGAGACAAAATCAAGGCTAATACATGGGTACTTATATAACCATTTAAAATGTAACACCTTTAAAAATATAAAAACCTCTTTTAACTTTCTTGTAAAAAAACAGGCAACCACCCTGACCAGTTCCTTAGCCTATAGGCCTCCACTACTTATCTCCAAAATAGGTATGTTATTAAGGTTATTGGGATTAAATGACATAGTTAATTCATATGTAATTACAGATCATAAATATATAGTATCTAATGCAGATCAATAAATGATAGCTAACATTTAATACAAAGATGGAGGTGACATGGTCACTACTTAATAGGTGATATATGGACCAAAGAGCCACTGCTCTTGACACTTCTCAATAAGTGATCAAAGTACACTCCTAATGTGATTCTTACTTACCTCTTGGTTATGGGATTAAGTTTACTTTCTAGACATCTATATTTTTCACATATCCTCTAGACAAAAATGTTTAAGATGACTAAAATGGCACTGGGTATTAAAGAACCAATATGCCCCTAGTGTACCTGATATATCTGGGAGTGGCAGAAAGGAAACAAAATTGGTTATGAGATAATTATTGAAGCTCAATGACAGGTATATGAGGATTTAGTAGGTACACTATTCTCTTTTGTGTTTGAAACTAGTGGTGTGCTAGTAAGCAGGCTCTCTGGGGTGTAAAACGTCCTGATTTGCTGCATTTGCCAATTTCCATGGTGTAATACTCCTACTGTGGCCAATTTCAGTTATTAACTAAAGGCAGAGTTGGAAAGGGATGTGAAAAAATGGCTCCCAATTAGTAGAAGCCATGTATTTTAAAAAGTTTAAAAATATATTACACTGATGGCTTATAGAGTAAAATTTACTACTCATTATCAATTCATTAATTTTACATTTCCAATTAAAATACAAAACTTGTGTTGCCTAATGGTGGCCTCCTATCTACCACCACACCACCTCAGCCTAGTTTCAGAAGCAGTTCTACATTAAGTGACATTTCACTTTAAGCTTCGTCTTAGCTTTTATTGATATGTGAAACGTGTTTTTAAGTCCTCCATACATTCCTCAATGCTGATCAAATGAACCATTTATATAATCTTTGAGCATTTAAAAATATTATTTCTTCCTATTTTGTTCATTGTGCTTGGTTTGGATATTAGTTTACCATTCTCCTAGCTATTTGTAAGCTTACTAGTTTAAAGAGCCATACTGATGTTCTTTTTTTAAACCAAATTTACCAGTTTACTCATTCTACTAGCAAGCAGGATATTCACTATTATTAAAAACAAATACAGAAACTTTGGTTTGCTTCTCTTGGACTTCTTTAAATTAGTGAAGATTAATCCAAAACACTTATAGTACTAATTGTCTAAGTACTGACAAAGTATTCTACTTTTGCAATATCCTATTATTAAATGACAACTACTGTATAGCAATTCAAATTTTATACTTATTCAATGTGGGAAATCTCTGGATCACAGAATTAAAAAAATTAACTTTGTTTTATGTAACTATAAAAGGCCAAAGTCAAATCATGTTTGATAAAATGAACAATTTTAAATTAGAAGCCAATATATAATGTTAGTATCCAAGACAAACCCTGGATATTTAAAAACTTTTGTCTTTTATTAACATTTGAGAATACTAATTATATTTTTAGTGCTGTTTTTAAAACAAAGAAAGTTAAAAAAATATGGTTCACTCTTGAAAATATTTTTAGCATGGTCTTACTAAAATTAAAAATACCATTTAACAAAGTCAGTAGGCAAAAGTGTTAAGAGCATGAACTGGGGTCTGGTGAGTCTGGGTTGAAATTGGTTCCATGATTTACTAGCTATGACTTTAAGTTATTTAACCTCTCTAAACTTCATTATCTCATTTGTGAAATAGAGGTAAATAACACTGTATGCTTCTTAAAAAATATTACGATTGAGATCATGCATGTAAAGTGCTTATACTGCCTAGCACATAATAAAGTGCCCAAAATTTATTAGCCTTTAAATATGGGTATAGAGAGTCATATCCAATATTTAGAAAATGTTGAATATCAAAGAAGTCAAATTCAATCTCACAAGTCTTATATTCTTTTGATACAAAGTTTTAAAATTAAAAAATGAGATCCTAATAAAAAATAGCAGTAAATTCTTCCTAGAAACACAAATTATATCCACTTATCAGGCATTCCCAGTGTAACCCTGAAAGTCCCCTTCTACCTATCATTACTTTCTTACTTTTGGTCTTTTAAGTATTCTGAGTTAATCTTATCAGTTTGGTTGATGAGATGGTGAAGAAGTCATAGAACTATACTTAGCACTCTACACTAGTATTATAGAATGTTTGGTCCCCCATATCATAAATATTGTTTAATGTAGCTGTTGAAAAACTTCAGAAAAGAAGCTGTAATTTTTTTCTTTTTATACAAATACAAGTAAAGTTAATTGGTTGGTCTATTCAGTTGCAATTTGTTTTATTTTTATAAAACTTTGCAAGTTATGAACATGGAAACTAAGAATCTCCTAAACTTTTTACACAAGTAAATTTCAAGTTCACAGTCAGTTTGTTTAAAACTATTTATAATTAATGGGAGGCTTAATACAGTAATATCTCAGACAAGAAAGAAGGCATTAATTCTGCAGGCAGTTAGCAATGAATATGCTAAACCTGATCAG